CTGGATCTGATTAATGTTTCGTAGACTCGCAGTTTAGCTGTTCTTGATACATTTTTTGCTTTCAGTAATGAATTTAGAGACCCTATCGCTCTGCTTTTCTTTATTAACCTTTTGTCTAGCTCTATTTATTATTTTCCCGTGTTCGTTATGGTTACTTCTAAGTATTTAAATTGTGACACTTTTTTAAAACTATAAACAGTCACTGCTCCTTTTATTTTAATATATTTGTTATTATTTGTTATGCCTCCTTTCATTTCCATATATTGCGTTTTTGTTTGGTTTATTATTATTATCTGTATATTTCCGCTTCTTTTTCAAATTTCTGGAAAACATTTTTTAATGTCTTTTTGCTATCGCTAGTATCACCACATTATCCGCGTACGTTATGCACTGTTTCCTGGTACTGTATGCTTTTAACATACTTATTTGATCAATAGTTGTTTTTCCTGGTCTAAAACCTCCCAAGTATTCTCCAATCACTTTGTTGTCTTATTTTATTAATATTTTCCTAATAATTTATAGTCTACTTCCAATAGTGCCGTACCTCTATAATTTTCGCACTTAGTTTTGTCTATTTTTTTAAAGATAGGACAAATAAGACTGATATTTCATTGTTTAGGCATTTCTACCTTTTGTAAAATTATTAGTGTTAACTGAAATATATTCTTCTTCAATCTTACGCCCCCTTCTTTAAATATCTCAGCAACTTCCTCCTGCACTTTTGTTATTTGTTAGGTCTCTTATTATTTCTTTGACTTTATTCAGTGAAATTGAAGCTGGTTCCTCGCACGTTCCTTCTTCATCTTCTTGCCAATTCTCATTTCCCTCAAGTTCGTTTTGTTGGTCTGTATTTAATAGATCTTCGAAATGTTCCGCCCATCTCTTTAATTTTTCACCTAACATTAGGCCTTCTTTGTTTCTTTAAAACTGTGGATTATTATTTGTACTTTTTCTGGATTTGTTAACTTCTTGGAGGAAACTCTTTTATATGTTTTTCAATTGCTTTTCTAGCTGTTCTCTTTTCTTTTTTCTGCGAATTCTTTTCATTTGCCTTCTTGCCACATAGTTTTTGATGGCATTTTGGGAATTTTCTTTATCTATTTGTAGTTTTGCCGTATTCCTTCTTGCCAAAGCATTCCTAGATTCTTCATCGAACCAATCTTGCCGTGTTTTTATATGCTCTCTCTGTCTCTATACACTTTTCCGCTGCTTCCAACATGGCTGTCTGTATGGTCTGCCACTCTTTATCTATATACTGTTTGACTGGATTCTCTAGTTTTTTATTTCTTTCTTTCTCAAGTCTGTTTACACCATGCTTCTCTTGAACGCGCTCTAATTGGTAATTTATTCTATCTCTAACAGGTTTTGGAATTGTGAAATGTCTTTGTAATCAAACCTTATGCTAGGTTCACTTTGTTTTCTGTTGCAAATTCTATTAAATTTTTTTCCGTTTTCATTTGATTCCTTATGCAAACTTCGTCCCCCTGTTATTATTTCATAAATGTCCTCTTTTCCTACTTTAGCATTTATGTCACCAATGATTATCTTGATACCGTATTTCTGTATATTTCCTATTAGGGTGTTTATCTTTTTGTAGAAGTCTGTTTTAGAAAGGAAGTGAAGACAAAAAGTGAAGAAAAGAATCCTTTTTACAGTGCAGAACACAACAAACACAACAGATATAGAACCACTATAAATGAATCATAAATTAAATAAATATTTCAGTCGACAAATAAACAGGGAACACTGGCAGAACTTCTCACAACAGATGGAACACGACTTTTAAGGAACACAAAAAGAGAATGAGAGAGAGAGAGAGAGAATGATCAAAGGACAAAGAAAAGAGATGAACGAACTGGACAGAAACATGGACTTTCGATGCTAATTTGCTAAAGATAATGAACCAACAACACCAAAGTAAGAGGTAAAGGAGCATTAACGAAATTAAAAAATAGAAAATAATCAAGAGAGGACAGAATACCGAACGAAATCCTAAAGTACGAGTACCGACCAGAATCTTTCTATTTCTTCGTCTTCGTCAGTACTCAGCTAAAACTGGGTCGGTATTCAGTGACGCGACACAAGTGAAGTAAATGTCTGCATAAAAACGTGAGATCTTTAAACAATTGGGGTGCAACTAAAGTTTTTAAAAATGTTTATAATTCTACGTGATTTATATCTAAAAATGGGTGTCTCTTTTATGCAGAAACATCATTATTACATTCATATTATGAAATAATATGAATGTAATAATGTTATATTATATTATAATACGTATTTTTTATTTTATCCATCGTTTACAAACTACGATTTTGCAGATAACGAAAGTATTAAAATTAAAATTTTTAAATACAAATTTTATTGTCAATATTATTCATAATGCTACGACAGACACTATATTTGATACACATATGTTAAGGTCGTAAATAAAAGGTTAGGTCAAACTGGTAATTTAAGTGTAAATTCATAAAAGAACGTTTAAATTTAAAGGTCGAAGGTTAATAGAATAATTTTACAATTTTGTAAGTGAAACGCAAAAATTTTTATTGTCGTTGTAAATCTTCTTTACACAAATTGTTAGAATAGTATTTAACATTCACGTCCGGTGACTTTTTATTCTACTTTAAATATTCTAAATTAACACTAAATGTGCTAAACGAATAAAAATGTTTTAAACGTGATGTCTGTATTAAACAAACTGATTGGTTAAACTTGAAATTTCAGTTAAAATATTTTTCGCGAAAAATTTATAACATAATTGATAAGGTGGATTCCAAAAGGACTTAAGTAGTTCTTTTCCAAACAGTCTTAAATCAGCAGTTGAGTGTTTGCGCATGCGCGATTCCAGCTGTCAGCATCTATTTGCTGTCAGTTTTTGGATGTTTACTGTTTGAGGTAAAACAAGTGATTTTTCAGTATGTATAAACGACATTAATAGTGCCAAAAAGAGGAAGCGAGAGAAAAATAAAGACTGCGGGACAAAAGAAATCTCAAAAAATTCGCAAGAAATAGTAAAGAAGCTCATCCAGATCCTCTCATTTTTTTGTGCTCATAAAAGCACCATTCAGCACCATTTACTCTGATTTTTTTAATGACTTACGACTTAGTTTAAATTAATTTTTTTTTTTAAAACACAGAATCGAAATTTTATCTTATAGGTTTTGAAGATTAAGCTCTAATAATGAAAATTCCATAGCGATCAATCAATGGAAGTGATAAAGTATTTAACCCCATAAGAATTCTAAACAATTGTAAAAATCGCGCAACGTTCATTTATTTAAAATCTTTATAGAAACTAACATCGTTTGTATACAAATAATACCAAGACACTCTGATTAAAAGATACGCAGCTTATGTGTTGTTATATGATAAATTAGAAAGTTCTGGTCTATAGAAAACAGAAATCTGATTTGGTCCGGTAAAACCTGCCTGCCTCCAGTTTTTGTAGGTTATGATTTTTGTTGCCATTTTGTATTTCACTGTCAGGCCCGTTCCTAGGGTAGTGAGCTCCTGCGTGCAGGCTTTTTTGTGCGCCCCCATATTATGTTTTTAAGATACCTATATCATAACATGTCCTTGTGATATGATTGAAAATATGATATTAATGTAAAAAGGAAAATAAAACGAACCATGTTTGAAAAAAGGTTTTATTTTCAAAATTAAATGAAGAAAAAAGGTCATTTTAAAACAATATTATTATGTAAGTTAACAGTAAGAAAGAAAACACTCAATTCGCAAATTAATAAGGCATTCTGGAATATAACATGAAACAATAATGGCAAGGAGATACTCTCAATGCAAAAAAACTTTATTAAATAATACATAATATACCAAGTGAAAAATAAAACAAATATTGAAATTACAAAATGACACGTCGTGCTTTCACAGATGCAAGCTCATTAATCATTTCATTGTGATCAATGGCTTCACAAATTTTATTTTCAATTGAAATGACTGCCAAATCTGATAGCCTTTCTTGACACATTGACGTTCTTAAATAATTTTTTATGAGCTTTAGCTTTGAAAAACTCCTTTCGCCGGATGCCACCGAAATTGGAAGGGTCAGAATATTCTCAAGACTATAAATAGATTAGGAAACAAGGATTATAAATTTTTCTTTGTTATATAATTTAAAACATCTATGGGCGAATCCGAAATTTTGCCAGAGTCTGTGATAGGGTTAAGAACTTTGTATGACAGAATTTCATTATGCAAATCAAGACCATCAATATCTTTGCATACGTTTCCTTCATGTTGAATTTGTAAAGCTAAATCCAAATTCATACATGATCCTTTAATCACATCAGAATCTAGATTTTAAAAATTACCCAAAAATCCAAATAAATCGTGGCACTTATCTATTCCCTCAAAGCGTCTTTGTAGGGATTGAATTGTTGTGTCCAAAATTTGAAAATAAAAACTGATCTTAAATTTCTGTTTTGGATCGAATACTGTTTCATCTGTACCTTCATACGAAAATTGAAGCTTCGTCCTTCTTTGTCTTAATAATGGAAATGTTTGTTCTACATCACTTTTTTCTGCTTCTGTTACAGCCTCATTCATGAAACTCTCGAAATGTTTGTCTGACCTTTTTTTAGTGAAATAAATAATAAGATTTTTTATTTCTTTATGGCATTCATTTAAAGTTGTATTTGGATTCTGGACCATTTTACTTACTATATTAATTTTTGTTAACACATCATGCCAAATTATAATAGAAAAAATGAATTTGAACGTTTTAGTTTTGTCTAATAGTGACCTTGCTGAGTGTTTCGTGTTCATATCTCTTGAATTATCTTCCACCAAATCATGTAAACTTTTACAAATTTCGAGGAATTGAAACCTAAGAGGACGAATGGCTTTGACTCTGCTTTCCCATCGTGTTTCACTTACTGATTTTAAAGTTAAGTTTGATACATTCCTTTTTAAAATGTCCCATCTCTAGGGTGAAGTACAAAAAAAAATTGAACAACTTCTGAACAATTGAAAAAAAAACCTACAGTCTCATATGAAATTTTAGCTGCATCATTGACACTTAAATTAATAGTGTGAGCTGAACAAGGCAAAAACATTGCTCTGGGATTAATTTTTAGAATTTGAGCTTGAAGGCCCACATACTTGCCAGACATATTTGCCCCATTGTCGTAACCCTGACCTCTCATGTCGTCAAGGATTATTTCAAATTTTGATAATATTTCTTCTTTTAAAAAATTGAAGAGCTCTTCTCCTGTAGTATTTAAAACTTTGAAAAAACCCAGAAAGTGTTCTCTAATTTCGACTTCATATGGAGAACAATAAACGAAGCGAATTATGACCGTCAACTGCTCAACATGGCTAGCATCTGGAGATTCATCCAAAATAATTGAGTAATATTTTGCTGCTCTGAGGCAACTCAGAATTTCTTTCTGAATATTTCTTGACAATAAATGAATTAATTCATTTTGGAAGTGATTGCTCAGGTAATGAGGCATATTTTGGCACAACTCTTTAGACCTTCGAATATTGCTCAGGTGTTCCATCATAATTGGATCGAATTTAGCAATCTTATCAACTAACTTCAAAAAATTGCCATTATTAGTCTCATAAAGATTCGTACTGTCACCCCTAAAAGCTAAATTTTGGCCAGCTAAATACTGCACAATACAAATCATTCTTTTAATGATTTTATGCCATCGCTGTTTTTCAATTTCATAATATTTTTGTTGCTCTTTATCAATAGTACATTCTTTACTTAAACGCAATTTTTACTCGTGCCATTTTTGAGCGCTTTTCATGTGTTCCATGCTATTTTCATGACGAGAAATATTAATAGAAAGGTGTCTCAAGTTAAAATAGCCGGTAGTTAATTTATGAGACAATGTGCTAAAAAGTTTACAGAAAATGCAGAATACGGCATTAATTTTTTTAGAATACACCAACTAGTCCCTCTTTACTTTTTCGCCGTTTGGCAACTTTCTTAAATATTGCGTGTATGAAAATTTTCTACCAGTTTCATCAACAGGAAAGTTTTCCATGATTTGAACGGCGCCTTTTGTCATGATTGATTGAATTAAATGATGATTTAATTGATTCGGCCATGTAGAGGGATCAGTAATATCAATATCGGCAAGGTCTGCAGCACTTTCTCTATCTTCATTTACCGGGTTACTTAGCTGAGACTGTGAAGAGAGTAGCATAAGCGTGGTGGTAATTTAATTAGTAATTTTGGTATTATAGTAGGGAATAGCAAACGGATGCTTTAGTGATTGCTTTAGCGCTTACCGGGGAAATACTGAACACTGACTTTTTTTGTTTTAGAAGGGAGAATATTTTTGTAATGGTAACCAAATATTTGGCGCCCCTAAAATTTAGCGCCTGCGTGCGGGGCATTCATTGCATACCCGCCAGGAACGGCCCTGTTCACTGTGGTATCATCGTGTACGACAATTGTATTCATTTCCTGCAATAAAAGAGTATTTATATCTTCGTATAATAACAAAAGGATTATCAGAAGATGAACTTCGTCGAATACTAGAAGAATCTGATTTCAGTGATTAGAATAAATCAGATTATAACTCTGATGCTGATCCTGCTTATCGAAAGAATGACAATGATCAACTTTATTCGAGCGGTGATAAATAAACTGGACCCTGTAATTCTATTGATAAAGTGGTAATAGGTAACTGATTTTACTTACAGTACAGATTGGTGCCTTATTATTACTTTATAAAAAGAGTGACGATGTTAGTAACCAAGAAAGAAACAAAAGTAGTATAACGAAGCAGGTCCCTCTTACTCAGTAGATGATTTAGTAATTGCTAGATGTCTTATTTGCAATTTTTTATTTTTTATTGATTTGCAGATTATTTTGAACCCAGACAACCTGAAGAAATATTTAACATAGACGATGTTAATTTAAGAACAGATAAAATAATATGGAAAGAAATAGATGGTCCGGAAAGACTACATGAATTTAAATTTACTGATAGTCCAGGATTCAACATTGACGAAGAGCAACTACATGGTCATGAACTGATTAATTTTTACCTAGTATTTGTTGATAATGAAATTTAAGATTAGTAAATAACAGAAACAAATAGATATGCTCAACAGAAAGTAGTTGAGTGGACTGTAAATGAAACCATAAAAAATTATTCGCTTTTGTGCAAATGGCAAGACACAGATGATTTACGTTTTTTAGCAGTTATAATGTGGATGGTAAATCGATATTTTCCGTTTTTTCCTCCTTTGAGTGAGAGTTTTGGGGGGAAGTATGGTGGTAGTAGCGACAAACATTTTTGCATCTTTTTTGGGGTCCAAAAATTGACATTTTTAGCAAAATTCAGCATGTTCGTCTCGTTTTTAGAAATTAAATGTCTAATGACTCGTTTATATAAAGTAATAAATAGTATTATATTAATATTAATATTAATTTTACAATGTATGGTTGCGAAATATGGATAATGATCACAAAAGATCGAGACTTATGTTGCCGATCTACACTTTACAAGAGTAAAGGAAACAATACGTCATGATGACTTCAGTAACTGGGACACCTGGAGCAAATTCAAGAGTCAATATTAATTAAACGAGTAGCAATAAAATATCAAAGAAAAAGAAAAACTGGAAAAGATAATTGGTCAAGAACTATAGAAAATAATTAAATTGCCATAGGACTAAGTGGTCTAAAAATAATAATATCTATTTAAGCTCATAAAGATTAAATACTAACAAAAAAATAAAAAACTATTTTTATTTAAGTTAACCGATGAATCAAGAATGCGTCCCTAATTAAAAAAACTAATGAGAAATTATTAAATTATGTTTTATTGATTAATTTGATATCATTTATTATTCAGCTGATAAACAACTAGACTAGATAATATTAAAAGACACATTAATGGGTCATGGAAACAACGTTTTGTCAACTAAGTCAGAATATCTTTTATATTACTTGGGTGGTAAGCAGCTTAATAATAATTTATTACTACAAATACTACGAAAACTACCACACATCCTACAAATGTCTCAAAATTACCTTGAAATGAAAACACTTTGATGATGAAGCTAGAGGACAATGAAATATATGTAGAAGAACAATAACTTAGAACAATAACAACGCAAACAACGTCCGATGGTATTGAAAAACGAAGTTAGAGCCTCTAAATCTTTGCTATCATTTATAAACTTGTATATTTCATCAGGGTCACTCTACCATCTTTTGATGACTTTATGGCTTTTATAACCTCAGAGAGTATTATTAAGGGTCCGTTGCAGTTAGTAATATCGGCAGATGAACTACTCCTATCGTCTTCGAATAGGTTCGTGACGTAATTTTCCTATTCTTTAAGTTTGTCCTCTACTTCAAATATTACTTTACCATGTTCATCCTTTAGCAATGCAGTTTGTTTCTTATTGAAGATACCAGTCTCTTCTTTCACTTTTTTATCCATGTTAAACGTGTCTTATCTGTTTTCAAGTTCTTCAATGTCATGACACTGTTTGGCTAGATGTTGACTCTTTGCTTCTCGTATTTTACGTCGAATTTCTTTTTGTATGCTGTTGTAAAGTGATTCGTTGTTTTTCACTAGGCGCCGTTGTTCCATCATTTCCAATATGTCATCTGTCATCCAAGCCTGCTTTTTTAGCTTTGACCTGCCTTGTAAATTTTTCACACAGATTTCTTTTACTGTTTTTACGATTTTATTTAAGCCCTCATCGACGTTTTCACCAACGATATTGATACAGTTTGGTCTGTATCAATATTTTAGCGAGACTTCTTTTTGATCACCTTTTTTAATTTTAATTGAGATACAGCTACTATGGGATAATATAGTATTCGGTATATATCGAATACTCAAAGAAGAACAAGAGCTTCAATTATTATAGTTGCAGAATTAAACTAAAGAGTTCTATAAGATCCATAATTACTATGTACGGGAGTGGAAAATTATTCGCTGCAAACACAAGACAAAATACCTAGGTAGAACCTTTTTCAATGTTGGAAGTGAGAGGCCCAATTATATGCCTCTAAAAGTCCTATAGATAGACTTAGATGGGCTGTATATGTCAAGAGAAAGTGAAAATTACCCACTTAATCTTAGTTTTAATGGATATTCACAATGGATAGTCACAACTAATTAAAATAGTAAGAGAATACAACATCCTTGTATGTAGTTATAGTGTATTGTAGTTCAGAGGTTCTCAAAGTGGGTGACACGGCACCCAGAATGCCTCAAGCATTTGCCAAGGGCGACCTGGAACATTTAAGAAAAGTCTAACAACCGGCCGCTGCGTCACTGTCCAATCGAAACATGTTGACTATTTGTACTTGTGTATTCTCGATGGCGACCGAGAAACAAACAGCCGAATTCGACCGACGTGATAGCTATCTGCATTCATTCCAAGTTTTAAATCTAACTGCAGAAGAAACGTGAGGACGTCAGTTCCTCAAATGTGGTAAGCAGCAATTGGAATTAATATGTATAATGTGATGTACTTTTGTTACTATTTTTGCCATAAAATATGTCTTGCAATATTACGATTGAAAATACCTTTCATTGTTGGCAATGTTTTGCTCTCTTTTATTTATTTTATTTTTTTTTTCACTCCAGACCAATAAAAAATTGGCTGAAATTTGGATCTTGGAAAAAGAATTGTAGTGAAGTCACTGAAGCATCTGATTCAACTTATTCAGTGACAACTAGCAGAGATGGAGAAGATACAAATATCTACGAGATTCATTCGAGTTCAGCTCATCCAAGTTGTTATCTTTCAATTCGTGGAAAGGAGGTTCCTTTCCAAAAAGAAATTCGGGGAAAAATAAGAAGATATGATCCTAGCTATCTCACGTTATATGGCTTTATTTAACTTGGTAACGAACAGACACCAGAAGGCCAATGCGTTAATCGTCACAAAATTGTTGCTAATGGGTGCTTGGATCCGTCTAAATTAAAAAGATATTTGGAAATTAATCATCCTGGTTTAGCCGATAAGGCCAAAGAAACCTTCAAACGCCGTGCTTCATCTCTTCAGGCAGGGTCATGCATGATGGAAAGAGTTTGCAAAAATAAAAACGAAAACGCCACTGAAGCGTCATTTATTGTTGTTTTGCACATTGCAAAAGCTGGAAAACCCCATGAGGAACTCATTAAACCTTGCGTGAAGGATATCGTATAGTGCATGTTAGGTCCACATATAACCAAGAAGATTGATAATATGCATATGTCAAACAGCACTATAAGCAAGACAATTCACACTATTTCAGACTTTGTAGAGAGAGCATATAAATAGATTAAAAACTTGTGAATTCTTCAGTTTACAACTTGATGAAAGTACCGGCATTGCTGGACTTGTTGTTCTGCTTTTGTTTGTGAGATTTCCACTCGGAATAAAAATAGAAGAAGAACTCCTTATGTGTGAAGAGCTCAAAAACTATGCCACTGGTGAAGAACACTATACACGAGTATATAAGAAAAAATGATATAGAGTGGGGTTGGGGCAGAAAATGCCATTATTTGGCAACTAAAAAGGTGCCGCAAGATTTGAATGACACGTATTGGATGGCTCGGTGAAAATAATTAACCGTGTGAAGAGCCGTCTGATTCAAGCACGCATTTTAAAACTTACCACTGAAGGTATGGGTATGGATAACTTCAATCTTTTGTTCCAC